TATAAGAAAAAACTGGTCTTGCCTGCTTTTTAATTATGGAAATTTGATTTTTTGGCTTGTGCGTTGGCGTTTGCCAGTTGCCCACATATTGGTAGAATCTATAGAATCTGAGATTCTATTAGCTCAGTTGAGAGGCCAACACCGACGATAGCACACAATTATTCACAACAAAAGGTGTTGCAGTCAACACACATTATAGGAAAATATTTTGATAGTTAACAACCACAAATTAACCAATTAATAGGCCATGCATCAAGCGGCAGGCAGGGTTCAGGAAAAATGACCGAAAAAACATTTTCATTCAATTCTCCAATGCTGATGATGCAAGTCGTTCATCTGCCGCTCTGCCTCTCGCTCTCTCTCTCTTCCTCTTTTGCTCAGCTGTCAATCAATCAAATTTTCTAATTGCTTCTTTAGACGCCAACACAACAACAACAACAACAGCAGCAGCAACAGCAATAACAATAAAGCAAACGAAACGCAGAGTCATAATTATGGTTAAGGTCTTCGCGTAGAAGTGCTAAAAGTTTAGACAAGCTTTTTTTCTCTGTGTACTTGGCTCCACCGGCAATCGCAGCCAATAGTTGGCAAGAGGCACAGCTTATGCTGGTCTCGGACTATGATTAATGTTATTCGAGAGTTTCTTTCGTAATGTTTGCCAGCCAATTAGCAATAGATTCTAGTACTTAAAAATCATGTGGGCTCGTTATAAGTAAATGTAAATGCGTTGAAAATTGCTTTACTCTTACGGAAAATGTTGGAAAAAGAAACACCCACTTCTTAGCGTGGCCATAACTAGACAGCTACTTCGTTTTCATCAGAACTAGTTGGGAATTACAGCGTAAAAGGCAGCAATTGCCTGGCATTGTCCATAAATATTGTTGCAAAACTAAAAGATAAGACCCTGACAGTTAGAAATATACGACGGCTTGATACTCTATTGTTAGTGCAATAAAAATGTATATAAACAGACGAAGAAAAGCCGTTAAAACTTGAGAAGATTTCTGAATGGAAGTGTATTGATAAAAAAAAAAACTTTAGGTGATTTTTCAAGTCAAGCTTAAGGAAAAACCCAACTCGTATTCAATGACACAAAATCTACAAATCTCTAGCTATAACAAATCTAGTTTTAATACTCCACTTAACTTAGACTTAACAGAGTATTAAGAAAGACTATAATAAAATTGCGCAAGCGACTGGAAGAGGCAGATAGCTGTTGAGTATGTGTGTCGGGGTCCATTTGTCGGAGCCTGTCCAACTTGTCGACAACGTTAAAAGCGGGAAACAACAACACATATTAAGAGGACTGCAGACCGGAGTACAGTATTTTCTAGTCGAGCACTCTCTTTTATTTAATAGCTAAATGTTCTGTGCAGCTATTTGTATTTCTCAGCGCTGAGAACGTTTTTTTGGGTATGACTTTTCACAGTTTTCCGCTGATTGAAATTAAACATGCCGAACATGCAGCCGAGCAGCAGAAAGCAACAAAAGCGGATGTCCGTGACGTGGCCATTACAATGTCCATAATAATATATATAGAGGGGGATTTATGCTACGCATTGTGGCATGCCGCGTCATGCAAGCTAATAAGTGGCAGCAAAATTGTCGCATCTCCATGTTTGTCCGAGCGATCGGCGATGATGTAACTGTGCGGCAAGAGCTGAGCGAACTTGGGAGGCAGCATATGACAGCCGATTTGCTGCGGATCTAACCTTGAGGAACAGGTTCAATGCGCACAGATCGGACGGACTTAAAGACAGTTGCGACAGGAAAAACGCAGCTAAAAGCTGGCTGACCAAAAAAAAAAAAAAAACAAAACCTCCATTACATTGAATTTTGCGCACAAAACATTTTCTTCATATATATGTATATATACATGCGAATTTGTGCGCAAGCGAACCTTAAGTCAGAGCCCGAACGAACCGGTTTCCAAGATGAGGACCGCCTCAGTAGACGGCGATTTATGAAGTCATCTTTCGTGGCTTAGCTTGCAATTTTGCAAACGGCAAAACATTAAAAAGAAATATAAAACTAAAAAAAAAAACACCCTGCGCCATATTGAATATGTTGCGATCTGCTCCGAGCTGGACAATATGTGCATAATTAAACTCTAGCGGTTCATTTTTGCCAAAAAGATATAAACCGAAAAAAAAACATCAAACTCACCTTATAACAACGTTCGTCCCGTTTTAGTTGCTTTGCGTAATCCAATTAGTTATGTGGCCTTTGTTTTACACGTGTTTATTTATTTGTGATCAACTTTTTGTTTGCCAAAATATGTGGAAATATATTTTTGTGTTTGAATTATTTGTACAATTTTTAAAATTTATCATGCTTTGTGTGGCGCATTATTCGTTTCTTTCACAGGCGCATAATTTGTTAGGTTTTCTTTGCATACATTTAATTTGGCTAACTTCCTCTTGGTTTGGCGCACACTCGATTTACATATGGTTGCAGGCTGTAGAAAATAAAACAACAATTACGACTGGCTAAAAAACAACTGCAAGAGCGAAGAGCGTGCTTTAAGAGTGAAAAAGCAAAGGCAAAGAGCGATAGATATAGTTGTATATATCAATTGTTGTAACTGGCGCTCGCAAGTGCTGGCAACAAGCGAGAAAAAACAAAAGACTTAGGCAACAAACTTGCGGTCAATTTACACAAATTTCGTTATTCTGTTGTTGTCGTGATGAAGTCAAAATTAACTGTTAGTCGAACCACCCGTTGTGCCTTATAACAACAACAACATCAACAATAACAACAACAAGTTGATCGCCCGCCAAGGGCAGCAACAAAATCAAACGACAAAAATGCAACCGAACATTTCTTTGACTTTGGCAGCGTCACAAATGCGTTTGCACGTTCGCAGTAAAAGAGCCAGCCCCAATTTAGAACCATTTCATGCCTCAAGATTAAACCGATTCACACTCTAACTCTAGCTTAACACGTACATGCTCGTTTTTCATCTGCGATTCCACGGCTCGGTATATTGAATCAAAGGCAAACCGCGGGAGAGCGAGCGCGCGACGTACGAACCGCGCTTCTTATTTGCTGTGTGGATGTGTCTCGCACACCGACCTGGCCAAGACTGAACTAAACAGACGCTTGCCTCTAAAGTCAAGACGGCTCTAAAGTCAACACCGACAACAACAGCAACGAGACCTAGGCAGCAACCGGTCTGGCCAAGTTTTCGGAGTCGCAGTCGGAGTAATTGGCAAGCCAAGCCGCGCTCTTATTGGCGCCGCGCTCTTCTTGTCACTTATGTGTGTGTGTGTGTGTGTGTGTGGTGTGTGTTGTTGCCTGGTGTTGGCAGTTTTTCAGCAACAACAACTACTACAACGATAATAACAACAACTGGCCCACACACCGGTTGCACTTGGGCCCTGTGCCACGCTCGGCTGACGCTCTTTTTATGCCCTAGAAAAAGGGTATTCTAATATTGTTGGAAAGTGTGGACACACCCGAGACAATAAAGTATATATATATAAGTTCTCGTTCAGCAGTCAAAGTTGCAACGATATAGTCAAGTCGGCTCTGTATGTACCCAGACGAATCTAGCCTCACGGTTTAAAGTATAACTGAAGCAAGTGATAAGGAATCTTGTCTCTTGTGTATTTATTAACCGGCCTGCAATATCCATAAAAGTGTATTTAATAGTCGGCCTGCCGCTGCTAGGTGTCATTTCTAGTTCTCACCTGAGATTGTTTCTCTTTCTAATGAGCGCACGCCTGGCGCGTAATTAGAGACTCCAGCCCATGTATCCCTGCAGACCCGAATCACGTCATGCTTGGCTAACGCGTCTAACTAAGCCGTCTTTGCGAGCTTTCCGAATGCGCTCGGAGAGTCGCCAAGTTGAGCTGCGTCTTGGCAGCAAGTCGAGAGCTACGCAAACAGAATCAATGTGTGGGCTGTCACCAGAATGCCTTGATGACGGCATATACGGCAAATACTCCCATACATACATATATATATATTTATATACATGCATGCATATAGTCATAGCTGACAATACGCTAACTACGGTCCGTATTCTGTTGAAGCTGCATAAATCTTGAACTTGCATTTACATTTTCCAACCACGCAGGTAGTGGCCAGCAGAACCTTTTCCTCGTTTCCAGCTGCTGCTGTTAGCCTTGATCGGGGCCGCCTCAGACGCGGCCAATTGTTGACGTTTCCCATTAACTTGAACGTTTCTATTTATATTTTTAGTTATACCAATATTTATGATTATCATGCGTGCTTCTCTTGTTCAATGCTCAATGTCAAAAGTTCGTCGACAGAGACGTGCAGGAATGTTTCGATCTTCAGACGTGCCTGGAGAGCTCTAGATATAAAAATATGTGTCTAATAAATGAAATAACCAGAGCATTAGCGTATTATTTAAATGTGCTTAAAAATTAAAAACAATTTTACAGGGTATATTCTGGAATGGTTACAAACATATGATGTGCACTTTTGATTTATGCAGAATCGAAATTGTTTCAGCTTTAGCTTGATATTCGCTCGAAGACAAATAATATGATTAGTTTCTGAATTTAATAAGCTGACTCAGCGCTGGAAAGGCCATTTGGGTGGGTTTCATCCATCCATCAGCTCTGTTGGCAACAGTCGATCAATTGCAATTACATCACAGAATTCTAGAGACCATCAGCATTTGCCTAGAAATACGATAAGCCCACGCCATGCGTGCATGTTTTTTTGGCAATACTTCCAAGCAGGAACGCCCACGGACTGAGCCAAGTTCATAATGTCAAGCTGACAGGTACATAAATTCACAAGTCGTTGGCCTTAAGACACGTCCGGCGTGGAGAGCGGGGGGTGGGGTAATAACAATAGCAACAACAGAAAATGAAAAAAAAAATAACAAAAACAACCCCCGCCTGAGGTGCTGCGACGGACATGTCCAGGTAGCCCTTGGTTACAGTACAACAATTGTTTATGTACTTGTCGGCCAGGTGTTAAAATCAAAGCAGGGTCTGGATTTTGGCTCAAATAAAGGCAAAGCTCCGAACGGAGGAGGCAGCTTGCCAATTAAATAAATATTTGTAAAAATTTCTTGTTGAAAAAGGGTTCATCAGATCAAAGTAGATTAGCTCATTCGAGGCAAGTGTCCAAGAAGGAGACAATTCAAAATACATTTAACGGCATTATGGCCGAGATCTTGTCGCGCGAAAAGGAACTCTTCAATATAAATCAAGAGCTAAATCTTTTGGCATTGAATCCCGCCGAAGATGGCAGCCATGCGGTAACCCAGTCCCGCTACAGCACCTATCTCAAGCAGAAGGGTCCCAGCACGTTGCTGAAAAAGAAACTGAATGTGGATGGCGGCAGCGCCAGGACAACGGGCAGGCGTGGCCACAAAGGAGGACTACCCAGGGCGCTCAGATCGCCCAATAAAAGTGCTGCAACAACACCAACAACATTGACACCGCCATCAACGCAGGTGACATCACCACGGTGCAAGCCCACGACGACCCTAATGTCACAATTGAACAAATCCAAAATGCCCGACTGGCGGTTGGGCAAGGCGCAGACCAAACAAGCTCCAACAACCAACAACAACAACAACAACGGAACACAGCAGCCGGCTGGACGAATCGATAGTACCTTTACGCGTAGGGCAAGCCATAAAACGGCCACGTACGTTAAGTATCGCAATCCAAATTTCAAGCAAAGTCCATCGTTGGATCTGCTGCTGCGGCACGGCGATGGCCTGGACGCGCAGCAACAGCCGATGGTGGAGCTAGAGGTAGTGCAGCAGTCACAACGCGAGAGCACAACGGTCGTTAATGGACAATCGAAGAAGCAGCTAACGCAGGACAACTTCATCAGGTGTGTGCGCATCAAAAATTAAACCGCATTCAAAGTCTAATGTGTGCTATTTTTAAAGATTTCTAAAGGCCAAGGTTACCATTTTGGAGGAGGATCACGGACAGCTGACGCAGGATATGGCCGATCAAAAGGAGCGGTTGGAACAGGCACTCGACGCACTGCGCAAGGTGGAAAGTCAACGGGATCAGGCATTGAACTCAAACGCCAAGCTTGCCGAGCAGCTGCATCGTCTCGAACTGCAGTCCGAGGAGGCCAGCCGCCGGCAAAAGGAGCGCCAGGTGGAGTACAACAACCAACAGCACGAGTTGGAGCTGCTGCGGCGCGACACAAAAATGCTGAAGCAAACCAATGCCAATCTGGAGAATCGCTTGATGCGCGCCAGCGAAGATGCCGAATCCAGTCGCCAGATGCTCGGCCAGCAGGCTAACCAGCAGCGCGACGATCTCGAATACAATCGCAAAGAGATCAAGTTGCGAGATGGTCGCATCAAGGCCCTAAAACGCCAGCGTGCAGACCTCCTGAATGCCTACAAGAAGCAGCTCTTCATGATTGACAATCTCAAGCGGCAGAACAGCTGCGTGGAGCAGGCGGTGGCCATTGGCTTTGGCGAGAAGGAGTTCAGCAAGGTGCTCGATTGGAATGCGGGTAGCAAGGCAGTATTTTAGTTCGGTCTCAAAGCTGATCAATTTAATTTATTTTAATTTCGGAACTAGTGCTTATTTGAATCGCTTGTACTTAATTAAATGTAGTATAACAATTAAATTTTATGTTAGGACACGCCAAAGAAAAAAAAAAAACCAATTCCCTCAAGTCATTTTGCTTTTCAATTAACACGAGCATAACCCAATTAGCCGGGCAGACAGGACACCAAGGGTAGATGCAGCCTATAAAAGCAACAGTCCTGGCAACCACAAATCACACTTCAACTTCAACGCTTCGCCAGCAAACAGTTGCCAGCCACAACACGCCGCAAACAGACTTCACAATGGCCGCACTCAGATGTACACTAACCTTGCTGCTGGTCACCATTATTGTGGCCGCCATTCTGCTGCACAGCAGCGAGGCAGCCTACAGGAAGCCACCGTTCAATGGCAGCATCTTTGGCAAGCGCAATGCTTTGGGTAAGTTCGCATAGACTTAAAACAAAATCATGGATAATAACCGTAGATAATACATTTGCTTAGACTATGACAATGCCAAGGCAATGGGCGCTGTTTGCGAGGTGGCCGTGGAGGCGTGTCAAGGCTGGTTTCCCCAGAACGACAGCAAATAGGAGCAAGCCCTGAGACTGATCTTAAACGTACGCATTCTAAAGCAAACTAAAACTAGATGTTGTAGCTGCCGACTCACCAACAGCGACTAAATACAATTACAAAAAAAAAGCATGTATAAAATGTATTAGTTAAGTCGTCCATATACATAAACTTACAATACCTATATAGCATATACAATACATACTCAATAAACTTACGAGCAATGCACTTGACTGTTGTTTTTTTTTTTTCTTGTCCTCTAAAGTTAACTAGCACGCGCTTGAGATACAATTAGAATATAATTACGCGAATTATTTGTTTATGAAATACAATTTAAATATGTTGCAGAAGCTTTATGTTAGCGACCTATCGTATTAGTCTATGTACAAGAGAAGTGCAGTATCAACGCCGTCGACGCTGTCGTAGCTCATTTATATGCTTGCGCAGATATTTCATATAGTCCACCATGGATGAGGTGAGTGCCTGGCAAAATAAATAAAAGAAAATACATATATTAATCAATATAATTATAATATTATATAAATAGACACTCACTGCATCTAGCACATAGCGTGGTATATAGCCCTTCAGATCCAGGCACAGCACCCATTCCAATATGCAACCATCCGATTTGCCAATGATTTCTCGAAACGCAAAGCCCGACACTATGTTCTCGCCTCTGATCAGATATAAAATCCGCATTATTATGGTTATCAATTATATATAAAGATTCATTCCTTACCTTGTATACTTCGCTATGGCCGGCACGGCTGGATATTCCACACTAATTGCTGCGCTCATCCACACCTTTTCATTGGTCTTGCCCACCACAGTATCTGTCGGCGTTAATACGCTCTTCATTATGGGCGGCGTATCGTCCAGCTGATCTTTGGCATCCTCGAATGCATCATCCAGCGGCGGTGGTTCGGCATTAAACGTTAAGGCAGCACCCAAGCTCTTGGCGCCCAAACTCTTGCTCAATGTGTCGTAGGGTGTCGTTGGGGCTGTCGCAGTCGCTGTGCCCTCCGCTGGCGGCAACGAGCTCTGGCCGAAATACCTGTTGCGATAGCTACCAACACTGCCGGCTTGTGGTGTCTGCGATTCATTGTCCGATAAGGTGGTTACACTGCCCTCACAAGATCGATTTAGAGAGTTATCGTCCTCGTCCTCGCTGCTAAGCTTAGCCGCTTCGTCGTCATCACAGATTTTGCCATTGTAAATTAAACGACACGAACGCAAGTTGACAAAATCGCGACTCTTTACCATGCCACCGCCGCCGCCAACGGAAACTTGGTAGGTAATATCGGTGTACGAATTGATTTTCTAACACAATTCGGCAAGTGTATAAAAGAAAAGTAACATAAAATCAAATTTTATATATTTAAAAGCCTATCAATATAACATTATAGCCTTGCTACAAATGACAACTATTTATTTTAACAAATATATAATCGACATTAACAACTATTGACTATTACTACTTACCCGAACTATCTTGGACTCTAAGAGCGTTGGATTCCATTTGGGAACATCTTCAATGCGGTAGAACAGCTCCTCCATAAGCGCTTTGGCGGGATACTTAAGGCGCGCCTGAAATAAAAAAGTAACTTCATTAAAAATCAGACTTAATAATTACAACTACGCACCGTTAATTTATAAATCTTGCCAATTTTATCTCGCTGTGTGCTGTGTATTGTGTCGCCCTTGGGCGTAACCTTTTCTACTTTCCAATCCGTTGACTCAATAAATTCATATGCCTTGCGCAGGCAGTCCAAGCCCATTTGATTGTACTCCTCGTCCTGTGCAATGTAGAAAAGGTAAATATACATATGAATTAATGGCGATAGGTACAAATAACTACCAAGAACATTGTGAGAGTGCTTTTGTTGCCTAAAAACTAGATGTCAGCATCTTTTATAGATGATGCACAGTATAATTGTTTTATTCAAAGTTTATTCTGAGTATGCGCATGCATAAATACTTAGCTGACCTCTTCATCCTCTTCGTCAGAATGATGTGCCGTGTCCAAGGGTGAATAGAAATCGGTTACGCTTTGCGGTGGGCGCTCGTGTTCCGTCAAGATCGTTGGCTGCGTTAATGTTGTGCGCTCATTTGTGCTCGCCGCTAAGCAACAGAAGACGGCATGGAATAAATAAATACAAATATCGAAGAGATCACAAGATTTACCAGCAAAATAACGACGGGCATGCCGCTCCTGAGGTATCACACGGCAGTCCAGAAACCAAGCCTCACCCCAGGCCAGTATGAATGATGTTATAATGAGTATCACCTCGAATACTTGCTGTTTGGAGTGCACCCACTGAAAATAATGAAATATTCTTATATTAAAGCTAAATGCCGATCTATAATGGATATACTTACATCATAGAAAAACACTTTGGTGATGAGAAACAAACATGAAGCACTTGTGGAAAGCTGCAAGTAGCAAGTTACTAATTAAAGATAGTCAAGCATCAAGCAACAGTCGCTTACCGCTATAATGGACCAATGATTTATATACAGCAATGCATAGAAAAAGATTAAGACTATGAAGCGGCAAAGCGCCGTGGCAACTACATCAAAAAGCGATGTGTATATGGTATATTGCATGACTTGTTTCTGAAACGCCTGGAATATATTGTCGCCACCAATCTGCGCAGAAAATAAAAAAAATTAGCACTATCTTGTTGCTGGTACCGGCTGTATACATACAACTATGCAAATCAGCCAAAGCAGCGAAACGAACACCAAATCGAAGGTGACAAACAGGCAGAAGAAACGTCGCACCACGGACATGCGTCCATCCTGCATATAGCCGCCCAGGAACTCCTCCGTAAATAAATTTATGGAATGCGGTCGCGCTATAAACAATGGATTACTTATTATGGCGTATGATATGGGAATGCATTCACTACTTACACATATCGTACGGCATGTGGTAGGGATTGCCGCCATGCCGAGCATTTGTGAGCAGAAGCTGAGCTGTGCTGCGTACATCATCCGAATCATTTTGGGACATGGCTGTGGCTGTGGCTGCCTTTGAAGGTCTTAGCTCATTTTAGCGACACACTGCAAATCCAACTGTAATTCATTATAATTAACAATTGTTGTTTATATCAAGCATATTGGTTACTTTTAATCAGCTAACAAGTGCGCTCGAATAACCAACTGCCCCATTGATAAGAATGCCAAATAACCAATATTTATTTGTTTTCGTGTATTCATTCGGCTTTCTGTGTATGACTAATATAATCACAATAAAGAGTTTCCTCGACGTGTGGTTCCGCTAATGTTTATGCTGATAAGCAAAAGCTTAAATCCATACAAGCACATGCACACACACACACACACATATATATACACACACACATACACACCCACATATGTGTATACATAATTGTCTTTGCACATATGCAGCTTGACTTGACACAATTTAACGCACCAATTAGCTAGATTTTAGAGCGCACAGATTGTATATAGATTTCTGATAAGCTGCAGTATTAGAACTTTTTCTTTGTTTTCTTTGCCAAACAAATATTTAGCGATTCACGCCCGCATACGCAACGAAAAAGATTGCTTACATTTGTGCATATATTTTTACCTGACACGTGACTATATATTTGTAATATAATATCAAACTATTTACTAGTAATACTAAATCACTATTTAAAATGTTAATTAACAATTTGTTAGGGTTCAGCTCGTTCAACGGGTATATACGTGGGAAGCTACGGTGGAACTGCATAAACAGCTGTTCAGTGTGACCCTGCTGTAAGCAACGCTAAAATACCAAGTATTTTTACTAGTACTCCTGTATGCCGACAGGTGGCGTGATATAATATTTTAAGCAATTGCTACAATTGATAAAAACCTTTTATTTATCGCTAATTACTGCCTAATTACTTAAATGTATTGAAATTATTTTAATATCATCGTAGGGCTTATCGGTTTTGGGATTTGCCTTAGCATTGCATATGTTGAGCACGACTTCCATGCCACGATACACACGGCCGAAAACCGTATGCTTGTTGTCCAGCCAAGGCTTAAAATAAAATAAACCAAAACACATGAAATATGAATAAATTACAAACATCTTAAGACATCCCTTACCGTAGGCAGAACTGTTATAAAGAATTGGCTGCCATTTGTATTGGGTCCAGCATTTGCCATGCTTACAGTGTACGGACGATCATGTTTCAAGCTCGGCACGAATTCATCTTTAAAGTCATGGCCCCAGATGGACTTGCCACCGGTGCCCGTGCCTGTGGGATCCCCAGTCTGTACCATAAAGCCCTTGATCACACGATGAAATATATGTCCATTGTAGTAACTAAAGAGGATTGTTTAAGATTGTATAGAGTTTTGGATAAAGAAAGAAAATTCAATCCTTACCCGTTTTTCGCATGAACACAAAAGTTTTCCACCGTTTTTGGTACCTCCTTAAAGAACAGTTTCATATGTATATCACCTTTGGTGGTGTGCAATACCACATTTTCATAGATGCGTTGTATAACTAAAAAGCATTCATAAAATTCATAAAGTTTATAGTTAAGAGCCCATAAAATACATATAAACACCTTCATCTAAATAGTGTTAGCGTGTAAAAGACAGTACACAGTTGTTAGTAATTGTTAGTATTAATGTTAGTTTACATTTAGCAATTACCTTGAGCCTCGGGCACGGCAATGATGTCCTCCTTCGAAGGCTTCTCATTAAATATGTCACGATCAACATCTTGCAGATCCGAGGGCAGACGCCTGCTATATAGATAAAACCGATTCTTTCTGTAAACGAAATTAATATTTCATTATTTTAAAATATATCTTCTCCTCGTGCGCCTATACCTACTTGTATGCTGTGCAAAAAGCTGTCGGATCATTGAGCAAGTTCTGCAGCGCTGGATTCTCGCTAGCCTCCTGCTCGAGCGTTATGGCAGCCTTCTGCCGCTTGATTCTACCTTGGAATAGCGCCACTTGCAATGGTCGAATGTTATCTGTTTTACCCAAAATTGTGACACAGCGATTTGTGGCCACATTGATAACTTTGATGCCCAGCATCGTGGGATACAGCAGGAAATGTCCAGTGCTATCGAAGAGTATATTTAGCGTTGTATTTTGCGCAGTCTTTTCCAAATCGCGCTCAGCTGCCATTCTGCAAGAGTGAAAAACAGACTTTAGTTGAAGTAGTTACAAATAAGGAGAACTAACCTTCTGCCAAACTCCATGTTGGGCAGCGCATGCGGCGTCTGCTGCATTTGTGTGTATGTGGAGAGCGCCTCGTCAAATACACGCAACAGTTTGCCCGTATTGAACTGAAAGACACGCACTTTGCGATCCGTTGAGATGGCAGCAAAACGTTTGCCATCCGGCGTTGCTGCTAGCCCTGTAACTTGAGTTTTATTCTTGGCAAACTCAAAGAGGCCTACGAAGGGATTTAATAAATTAGAGTTTACTATTATATACTGTATGCAAAGCTACTTACTTGTGTCCAATTTAGAGCTAAAACTAACCAACCGCTGTGGAAATTTGTAGTCATGCCTCGAATTTTGCCAGTACTCCAATATACCGTTGCGATCAACCGAGATGACCGTTTCCATGGCCAAATTAAAGCACATAGCAACGACCGGTGCTGAATGCAATTTGTCCAGAGTGTGCAGGACATCGCCACCGCCCTGTCCATCATAGATGTGTATGCTGTTACTCTCCGAGTCGGTGCTGTCGTGTGTGTAAATATATATTAAGGAAATGCATGTAAAACTATTGTACGCATCTAATTACATGGCCAGGCCCTGAACTGCGTCTCCAGGGGAGCTTATCCACTCGCTACAAAGCGGCGTATAGCCCAAACGTATAATATTGATCATGTCAAAGTTGACCACATCGAAAACCTTTGCTGTTTGATCGGTTGCCGCCGAGCAGAGTAAAGTTCCGCTGCTATTTGTTGTCAGCGTTTTAACAGGCACCAAATGACTACGAAAATGCTTAACAAAGTCGATGCCCAGGTCCATTTTCTTCCAAAACTTGATGTGCCCATCTATGCTGGCGGTAACAACGAATTCAGTTTTGGTGCTCACCAGGTGCGTGATGACGTCGCGATGCATGTAGCTGCGCTCATAGCTCTCGGCATTGGGCAGATTCTCCAAGTAGATGTGTTCATAAGGCAAAACTGTAGGAGCATAGTACACAATTCAGATGCTTGGGGCTATAATATGTATTTGATTTTGCTTGTTTACCTTTCTTTTTCTTTGCCGGCACTGCCGCGCTTTGTTCCGATGGCAGCGGTCCAATCCAGCCGTCATTGTCTCCCTCTGCTTCTGTTGCCTGCGTTGCTTCTTTCTCTAATTCCTCTGTATCTGCAGTTGCGCTGCGTTTTAAGTCTTCTCGGTCAATTTCCGCGCTCATTTTATGCCACTATTAAACGTATAAACAAAACCCAAACAAACAAAACGTGCCAACATCAACCGGAACGTCAACGTAGTTATCGATAAGCTGCGATATATCGATAACTGCAATTAGCAAAAAACAGCTGTCCGCCTGGATGGAGAATGGCAAATTTGAGCTGTGGCAATTCACACAAATTGAAAACATAACAAGCCACAGATTTAAACAAAACTAAAATCTGTATATATACACGAATTGTAAATAAAGTATGCAAAAGACCAGCGAAGAGGACAAGACGCATGCCATCCAGATTGCGTCGAAGCCAAGAAAGGATGTGGACGATGGTGGCGGCGGCGTTGGAGGCGCCAATCGTATCATTGTAAATGCAGCGCTTGGAGCGACTGAGACACGCATACGAATCAATAAATGGCGCGTACGCGAAGGGCAAAACGTTTCAGCGGCACAAATCCTGTTCCTGTACCAACAGCTCGGCGATGATGGGAAACCAATCAAAATGGGCGATGCCACTTTTCTAAAATACAAGTCAAATCAAGCTGGAGTGGTTAGGAAGCGGCTACGCAAAGAAGGCGAAATAGTGATAAAAGGGTGAGTTTTTCCTCTTCATCTGCTTCTTCTTTTGTTTTTTATATGTGAATCCAAGTCGCAACGAATGGAGCGGGCGGCAGTGGGTGGAATGCAGTTATTGCACCACACACCGCACAGCACAGCAACACATGAGCGTATACATAAAATGTTTTCTTTTTTCTCCCGCTCAGAGATGCGCTTTTGGAGCTATCCGAATGCATACACACAACAGTTATCAAGGACATGTGCGCAGACTGCGGCGCAGACTTAAGGCAGAACGATAATGTAAGTGTACCATAGAAAACATGCATGAAGAAAAGAATTTCTTATTAATTCATAAATCTTATTGACAATAAAAATAATAATAGGGACAAACATCGGAGGCATCGGTGCCCATGGTGCACACAATGCCCGATTTGAAAGTTACACAGAAACTGGCCCAAAAGCTTGGACACGATGACACACGCCGCCTGCTCGCCGATCGCAAGCTGGTGCTGTTGGTGGATCTCGATCAGACGGTTATACACACTACCAACGATACGGTGCCGGATAACATCAAGGGCATCTACCACTTCCAACTGTATGGCCCACAGTCACCCTGGTATCACACGCGTCTGCGCCCGGGCACCGCTGAGTTCTTGGAGCGCATGTCACAGCTGTATGAACTGCATATTTGCACCTTTGGTGCACGCAACTATGCACACATGATTGCCCAGCTGCTTGATCCGGATGGCAAGTTCTTTTCCCATCGGATTTTGTCGCGCGATGAGTGTTTCAATGCCACCAGCAAGACGGATAATCTAAAGTAATTGCTTGCACAATTGTTGTAGTTGTAGTTTACTTACCTTTATGTTTTCCTAATGTGTTTGCCTTTATTTTCTAGAGCGCTTTTTCCCAATGGCGATTCAATGGTGTGCATTATAGATGATCGTGAGGATGTTTGGAATATGGCGTCCAATTTGATACAAGTGAAGCCCTATCATTTCTTCCAACACACTGGCGACATTAACGCGCCGCCAGGCTTGTCAAAACACGAGCTGGATGGCGAGGGTGTTGATTTTAAGGGTAAGTAACTTTTTTTACCTTTGATGTAAACTCTGCGCACAATTTTATGGTCACTTGCAGAAATTGATAAAATTGCCGAAAAGAAGTCGGACGGCGACAAGCCAGCGTCGAGTGTGGATAAGGAATTGAACAAATCCGAAGACGCTGAAGAGAAAGGCGACAATACAGTTTCAAGCACAAGCAAGGATGAGGAGGGAAACGAGGAGTCTGTGGATATATTCGAGCTAGATAGCGAGACAAAGGATGCAGAGGCCAACACCATTGAAACTAAAGACACCTGTGTAAATAGCGTTGAAAAATTGAATGGCAGAGCGGCTGTCGACGAACATTTGAATGTAGACGAGAACTCATCCGGTTTACCAGAGGAGGAAGCGCACAGCAGCGGCAAGCATGGAAGCGATAGTGATGATATTGTTGTGATTGATGACGTGCCCTCGGAAAGCTCAAAGGGCAGCAATAATGCTGAGAAATTGATGCCCAAGAAAGAAGATGACGAAAGCATCGCCTCGTCCACAAGCGGCGATGATAAGCGGCTGGCAGAGGGCGACGATGACGCCGCAAAAACCAATGATGATGTGGCCACAACATCGCAAAGCAACTGTCCAAATGTTAAAATATCCAATGATGGGTTGAAACAAATCGAAATCGAGGATCCCGATGACTATTTACTCTATTTGGAGGTTATATTGCGCAACATACACAAGCGCTTCTATGCGATC